ATCACTCCTAGTGATGTACCTAGTGGTGTGATTCTTGAGAGTAGTGTAGCTCTTGATAACTATATTGTCTATAGCAACACACTATGGTGTGAATATTTCCCTCCCAAAGATGGAAATCTCTTCTCGGAAGATGAGAGTACTCTTGTGGGAAGGAATATGATGAGGATAAAGGTGTTGTTGGTGTACTTATTACTTCTTCTTCTGGGTGTGTTTCACTCCTTGATAGTATGATCAATGCTTTTGAACCTATTGGTAGCCATACTCATGAAAACACCCTAGAGGAGGTTGATTTGCGATACACCTTTCTCTACTACTTGTTTACATACGATGATGCTCATGCTGTTGAGTGGAGTATGCTATTGGGAGGAACAAGTGCCCACCTGATAAATTGAGGAGCACTTGATCCAACTCCATGTATCTTCTATCCTTTTGATCCCCGGAGGATGTTCGAGGGTAGTTGAACTGGAAGGAGTATCATCTTTTGGGTGGTACTACTTTGTTGTTGAGAAGAATGACCATTGTCCTTGTTCTCCATTGGTGGGCTTAATAGCCATGACAATAGAGGATGTTTGGTTGTTCCTTGAGTTTGAGTCTCCTCGTTTAAATGTTTTAAGTGCTAACCTTTGTACTACCCATCATGCTAAGAGGATAAGCTTCTTGCTTATGATCTATATGGTTTTAAAGTTTTGGATTCGAGGACTCACTTTTATCTACTTGCATATGATGATACTCATATGTGTATGGGTTGTATATCTTATGTTAGTAGTGGTTTAAATTTGGCAAATGAGAGTCTCCTTGACTCGATGCTATACAATCCTTTTTCATTTGACCCCGATGCCATCCTTAAATGTGCTGAATATGGTAGTAACACCTTCTGTCATTTGCATGATTCTTTCGTGGTGTTATTATTTGATCCAATGTGCTTGAATGAGGTATGTTTACCAATTTGGTTTGGTAGGGGGGAATACTTATGTACGTGAACCTGCTCATGAATTGGGAATACTTACTCTCTTGAAGTTATCTAGTGCATTGGATGGGGTCTTAATTTGGGTCAACATTACTTATGCCTTCGCACATAGGTATGAGAGTGTTCATGTGCTAATTGACATAAGGGAGGTCTTGTGCTTGTTTAAATGTGGAACCAATGAGGGATTACATATGAGGTTGTTCAAGTGTATTGGTTCCTACGCTTTACCCCTTTGTCAATGTTTCTTACTTAGCCAATTATCTATTACTTTGATGGGTTGCAAACCCTTTGTTAATATTTGTGATGCTTGGTTATATGTTAAGTTTGTGCATCCTTGGCATGGTGATGAAATTGTTATTGCTAACGCTAACCCTCATGCCATGAGGATCTGGTTCTTGTTTGCTCCCCCAAGGGTTTTGCAAGTTATGGATTCGAGCATGAATCCTTTTCAAGAAGGGGAGAATGATGTAAAATGGATTACATCAACCCTATCCATTCATGAACTTCAATGCTTTGATGGAGTGTTCACAAGGATGGAGGTTGTTTGGCATGTATGGATGCCAAAGAGGGAGTTCCATGCCTTGCATGGGAACATATGCACCTTGAAGTAGCTCCAAGTTGGGCAACACCATGCTTGGATGATAGCTTGGAGCGTGGGAGGCCTAACGAAGCGAGGAGGAGCAAGTGAAGAATGTGCTCCATTCGGTGAGCTGGAGACCACTTCGGCGACTCGCTAAAACCCTTTGGCGAGGGTTCCCAAGATCGTCAACTGCCCAAGGAGCTACAAAGGGGAAAACTGCTCACTAGGCGAGCTGAAGACCATTGACGCATCGCCAAATGGATTGGGCGATGGTTCCCAGACCACCCAAAGTTTCAGTAGCTCCCCAGCTAAGGCAAGAAACAGAGTTCCTCGCCGAACCTATTGGGCAGATCGCTGAGGCATTAGGTGAGCCCGACTTGGCTCGCCCATTGGCCTATTTCGGGTCACTTTTGGGCCTATTTGTGTAATAAGCCCTAGCACTATAAATAGGCGTCTTAGGGTTCATTTTTAAGAAGATTTGTTTTGTTGAAAATGGTTAAAAACCTAAACTCCTTGTGTGAGTGTTTGAAAGATTGGTAAAGTTTTTGTTGATTCTTGTTTAGAAACGGGGGTTGCTTGGGATATCGATTCCCTTGAGGTCTTCGTAAGAGTTAGGTGCTTCTTGTTGGATTAACGAGGTGAGGTGTTTGGGTTTTATATACCCTTAGGTTGCTCTTTCTTTCCTCTTTTTGTGTCTATCTATTTATCCGGATTTGGTACTTGTTAGAATCTAGATTGGAGGTTATTGGATTTAACACATCCTTTAGTTGCCAATTGTTTCTTATCTTGTGTCTCTTCTTCTATCTTTCATTTGTTTCCGCATCGATTGTGATTCCCCTTGTGAGAATTACATCATATCTAGGGCTATTTTGTATTAGAACTAATGTTTATTGTGCTATATTTTCAGGAAATGGATTTGGATGAGGTCGAGAGAGAGAGCTAGAATTCTGTAGAAGTGGCCACCCACGGAAGTGACCTACGGACCGTAGGTACAGTCACGGATCGTCGTTGGGCTGGCGTGGGATGAACCTCAGGGAAATCTGACCATGTGTGGAACTATGGAAGAGAGTGACGGACAGTAGGTCAACCCACAGGCCTTCCTGCACAACCGTCGATTGATTCAGAGATTTTGAGTTCCAGTACTTGAGGAAAAGTTCTAAGTGTGGAGCCATGAAAGGGGACCCACAGACAGTAAGTCAACCTACGGTTCGTCCTACAAGTCTGTTGTGTATATCTGGAAGATTGAAGGTTCCAGCTTCTGAGAAATTGTCTAAGTATTGAGCCATGGAAGGGACCTACGGACCGTAGGTCTGTCTACGGTATGTACGCCAGTCTCGTAGATCGAAGCGGCGTCCAGAAAAGTTTATTTCCTTATTTCATTCCTTTTTGTTTAGGACAAGTTTCTCTATTAATATGGTAGGTAAACCCTGTTTTTGGGGGTTAGACATTATTGTAAACTTTTAGTTCTTGGTATTTTCTTGGAAATTAACTTGCAAACTTCAGCAATTTGATTTCCGGATTTCGATTTATAAAGATTTTGGCTTTGAATTTCAATTGGAGATTACAGGTTTCTTCTACTCATTAAGTAAGTTCATGAGTTCTTCTTCTAAAAATATGAATTGTGTTCTTCCAAGTATGAGTAACTAAATCCACAACTAGGGTTGTGAGAACCATGAGCGATTAACAAAGTAGAAATAATAACTAAGTAATTCTTGAATAGTGTTGATGCATGTATTGGTAATTCTTTCGTTTAGAAGTCTTTTTAACGAGTGCGCGCGTTAGAACTCACCTTGTTGCTACTTGCCGGACCAAAAAGGTAGTTTATAAGAAAAGAATTATCAATAGAGATTTAGTGTGATACTATCTAATAGTCTAATGTCAATTGGTGCGAGGGTGAAAACTAAGCCATACATTGATGTGATGTCTAATCTGAGGTAAATGTAAGGTTTAGTAAATTATACACACGTAGTCGGACCAAGGTGCGGTGTGAAATTTCCTATTTGGCGGACCAAGCACTTAGGGATACCTAACTTACCACTTCGCATGTGATACACTAGGATAAGATTACTATTATTAGGATTACCGCATTAAGAGCTTATGGGGAACACATACACCCTAGTTTCTCTCTCTCATTGATAACAAAAAAGTTCGAATCTTGATCACTTGTTACTTAACAACAATCAAGTTATTTGTTTCACAAAACTCCTCCTCCCCTTTACTTACTTATCTCGGAAATAAGTTGATTAAACAAATATAATAGTGAGTTAAGTTTAAGTCTAAAACCATATTCCTCATGAGATCGACCTCAACCTACTAGTTGGGTGTTTTATTTGATAACGATCGCTTATACTTCTTTAGGGAGGTATAATTTGAGCGTATCAAATTTTGGCGCCGCTGTCGGGGAATTGGCTTTTAGATTAAGTTTAACTACATTATTGAACTTTAGTAATTATTTCCTAATTTTACATTTACTTTTGTTTTTGTTTCTACAGGTTTCTACTCTAGTGTATGCCAAGTACACGGAGTCGAGGCGAACCATTGACTCCATACAATCTAGAGTTGACCAAAACTTTGTGAAAGATGAATAATCAAGGGGTCCAAGTTAATCCAATCAGAGGAAATCTAGGTGATGGAGTTGAGTTGCAGCCTCCTGGGGTTGTTAATGAGCACGCTGAGGATTATGGTGGTAACCCACTAGGAGATGCATTGAGGGTACAAAATCTACCAGAACCAATGTTACGTGATAACTATAGGGTCGACTTCAATACCGTTGAATCCGAAGTACCTATTGTTCTACCTCTTTTTCCTCTGGGGGATACATTCGTGGTGACTAGCAGTTTGATGTAGATGGTTACAACGAGGGGTTTGTTTTCTGGTATGGCATTGGAGGATCCACATGGGCACATGGCCAAGTTGAGGAGTGTTTGCAAGAGTTGCGTGGGTCGACTGGAATTAGACATGGATGTCATAGGGTTGAGAGTATTCCCTCTATCTTTGACCGGTGATGTTTTGGTGTGGTTTTCTGAGCTCCCATATAAAACCATTCATACATGGTATCAATTGCACAAGGTGTTTATGGCCAAGTACTTTCCGTTGTCAAAGAAGCTGAACCACAAAGATAAACTCAACAACTTCGTGGCACTACCTAGAGAGTCTGTCAATAGTTCGTGGGATAGGTTAACTAAATTCATAAGAAGTGTTCCAAATCACCGCATTGATGATGAGTCACTAAAGGAATACTTCTACAGAGGTCAGGATGACAATAACAAGGATGTGCTTGATACTATCACTTGGGGTTCATATGGTGAGTGCACTTTTGAGCAGATCGCTGAGAAATTGGAGAAAATCTCTTGAAATAACAAAGCTTGGAGTACTAGAAAGTCAGAAACTGGGAAGAGCACGTTTGTAGTTCAATCTGTACCTAGTCAATATGCCGATGATATTCGTGAGGAGATGGCTCAGATGATGACCGAATTGGGGTTGGTGTTGAAGCATATAAGCGGAGGTGCCGAAAAAGTAAATGATGTGAATTATTTTACTAGAAACCCACCACCACCAGTTGAGGAATGCTACTATAAAGAGGATGTGTATTTGGTGAATGATCAGACGGGGGGTTTTCGAGCCAATACCCAAGGTTCCAACTGAGATAATTGGCGCCAAGGGAAAGGAAACCAAGGTTGGAACTATGGCAACTACAATCGAGAGGGTCAATATGTCCGGGATGGGAACTACAATCGCGAAAACAACTACAATCGGAACAACTATGGCAACAAAAATGATATGGTTGGTCCTTATGTTCCACCTATAAATCAGGAATCTGGTAATAGGGAAGCTGGGGGTAGTATGTCACGTATTGAGGATATGAGGCAGAAGATGATGAAGAGGTTAGATTCGACTGATGAGAATGTGAAGGAGATGCATAATGACTTGTCTGGTATTGATCAAAAAGTTGATGCCCATGTAGTGTCGATCAAGCAACTTGAGCAGCAGATGAATAAGTTGTCCACTATAGTAAACCTACGTCAGCCTGGCACACATCCTAGTAACACCATCCAAAATCCAAAGAATGATTGGCATTATATGGCAGTCACTACTCGAGGGGGTAAGCACACCATTGAACCACCTATGCCGTCTGAGGTTGAAATTGTGGTTCAGAAAGATGATGATGAGATTGAGGTTACTGGAGAGTCCAAGAATGCTACAGAGAAGGAAGCGAAAATAACCCAAAAAGATGTTCCCATGCCTAGACCTCCACCATTCCCACAGAGGTTGGTGAAGAAGAATGAAGAAGGAAAGTACCGCAGGTTTATCACTATGTTGAAACAACTTTCCATCAATGTTCCATTGATACAAGCTTTGGAGCAAATGCCTGGGTATGCTAAATTCATGAAAAATTTGGTGACTAAGAAGAGGGCCATGATTTTTGAAGATGATGATAGGTTGCAACATAGTAGTGCTATTGCTACTCGGTTACTTGTGCAGAAGAAAGAGGATCCTGATGCCTTCACTATTCCATATACCATCAGGTTGTTGCGTATTTCTAAGGCATTATGTGATTTGGGTGCTAGCATTAATCTGATGCCATTGTCTATTTACAAGAAGTTGGGTTTAGGGGCTCTAATACCGACTGCGATGCGATTGCTCATGGCCGATAAAACTGTGAAGAGGCACATTGGTGTTCTCCAAGATGTGCTTGTGAAAGTGTAGTCGTTTATTTTTCCTGTGGATTTTGTGATACTTGACTGTGAGATTTTGAGGTTCCCATCATCATAAGGAGACCATTCCTTGCTATTGGGCGCACCTTGGTCGATATGGAGAAAGGGCTGATGAAGGTTGGATTGAATAGTGAAGAGGTAACTTTTAATATCTATATGTCCATGAAGCAGGAAAGTGATCTCAAGTCAGTGTTCGTGGTGAATCATATTTTTGGTCAAGGGTCTGATGTGTCTATTGAAAAGCAGTTGGGTGTTGATGCACTTGCAGCGGTAATGATGAATTTTTAGGGTGATGGTATTGAAGATTATGATGAGTTAGTTGCCGCACTTGATAGGTTGAAATTTCATTTCAAACCAAAGAAATATGAGGTAGATATGAATAATCGTGACTCTCCACCCGTAAAACCGTATGTTAGAGAAGCTCTAAAATTGGAGCTTAAGGCTCTACCATCACATTTGAGGTATGTATTATTGGGGAGAGATGGTACTTTACCGGTCATCATTGCGGCTGATTTGAATGCGGAACAAGTTGAGGCTTTGGTTTCTGTGTTGAAGAGGTTCAAGAGGGCTATTGGGTGGACTATTGCAGACATTATTGGGATTTCTCCTGGCATATGTTCTCATAAAATCCAACTCATGCCGGATCACAAGCCTAGTATCGAGCACCAAAGAATACCAAATCCGCCTATGCAAGAGGTAGTGAAAAAGGAAATCAACAAGTGGTTGGATGCTGGAGTCATTTATCGCATTGCAGTTAGTAGTTGGGTTTGTCATGTTCAGTGTGTGCCCAAGAAAGGTGGGATTACTATGGTACCTAATGCGAAAAATGGCCATTCATGGATCAGACGCTGGACCGTCTTGCTGGTAAGGGTTGGTATTGTTTTCTTGATGGTTACTCGGGCTACAATCAGATCTCCATTGCTCCGGAAGACCAAGAGAAGACCACCTTCACTTGCCCTTATGGGATTTTCGCCTTCAAACGAATGCCATTTGGGTTGTGTAATGTTCCAATGACCTTCCAGCGTTGCATGATGTGGATATTTTTTCATATGGTGGAGGAAACTATTGAGGTATTTATGGATGATTTCTCTGTGGTAGGTGACTCATTTGATGGTTGTTTGGATCAGTTGGCCAAGGTACTTAAACGGTGTGAAGAGTGCAATCTTGTGCTGAATAGGGAAAAGTGCCACTTCATGGTGAAAGAGGGGATAGTTCTGAGTCATCGGATTTCTGAGAAAGGTATTGAGGTTGATAGAGCAAAAGTCGAGGTAATAGAAAAGCTTCCACCACCTATCTCGATTAAAGGTGTTAAAAGTTTTCTTGGGCATGCTGGCTTTTATAGGAGGTTTATCAAGGATTTCTCCAAAATTGCACATCCATTGTGCAAATTGCTCGAAAAGGAGTGTAAATTTGAGTTTGATGATGCTTGTCTGAGAGAATTTGGAGAGTTGAAAGAAAAGCTAGGTTCCGCATTTGTCATTATTTCACCGGATTGGGGGTAACCGTTTGAAATGATGTGTGATGCGAGTGGAGTGGCGCTTGGTGTGGTATTGGGACAGAGGCGAGAGAAGATTCCTCATCCTATTTACTATGCTAGCAAAGCTCTAAATGTGGCTCGAAAGAATATACAGTGACTGAATAGGAACTCCTTGTTGTGGTTTTCACATTTGAGAAATTTCGATCCTACTTGCTTGGTACTAAGGTCATAGTGCGTACTGACCATTCTGCATTGAGGTATTTGATGGCTAAGAAGGATGCAAAACCGAGGTTGATGAGATGGGTGTTGTTGCTGCAAGAGTTTGATTTTGTGTTGTAAGATAGAAAGGGGACAGAAAATCAAGTTGCCGATCATTTGTCCAGATTAGAGGAGGAAGCTATGCTCAAGCTAGGAATGTGGCTGAAATTAATGATGCGTTTCGAGATGAACATGTATTAGCTGCTTCTCATGATCTTATTCCTTAGTTCGTAGACTTTGCTAACTACTTGGCAAGTGATCTGGTTCCTTCGGATTTGTCTTTTCATCAAAGGAAAAAGTTTATGCATGATGTGAAGAAGTTCTTTTGGGATGAGCCTTATTTGTTCTGTATTTGTGTGATGGGATTATTCGTCGTTGTGTGCCCGAGGTTGAGATGATGAGTATACTAGAGGCGTGTCACTCTTCGCCTTTTGGTGGGCATCATAGTGGTATTCGGACTGCGCATACAATTTTGCAGTCTGGGTATTACTGGCCTACCATCCACCAAGATGCTCATGATTTTGCCAAGTCTTGTGATTGTTGACAAAGATAAGGAGGAATTTCAAAGAGGCAAGAGCTACCGATGAATCAGATATTGGTGATTGAGCTATTTGATGTATGGGGCATTGATTTTATGGGTCCATTTTTGAGTTCATATGGGATGAAGTATATTCTTGTTGTGGTTGATTATGTGTCAAAATGGGTGGAAGCAATTGCGCTTTCAAACAATGAAGGTAAAAGTGTCACCGCATTCCAGAAAAAGAATATATTCTCCAGATTTGGTACACCTAGGGCAATTATCAGCGATGGAGGTTCCCACTTTTGTAATAAGTTGTTCAAGGCGTTGCTAGAGAAATATGGAGTTCGCCACAATGTAGCCACTTCTTACCATCTGCAGTCTAGTGGGTAAGTTGAAGTGTCCAACAGAGAAATAAAGCAAATCCTTGCTAAGATTGTGAATGCAAATAGAACTGATTGGTCAAGGAGGCTTGATGATGCTCTATGGGCCTATCGCACCCCATTCAAGACTCCTATAGGTATCCCCCCCCCTACCAACCTGTATATGGGAAGTCTTGCCATTTGCCGGTAGAGCTAGAGCATAAGGCTATATGGGCGCTAAAGCAGTTGAATTTGGATTAGGGTGTCACATCGAGTTAAAGAGTGAATAACATGAATGAGCTTTTATGAGTTTCGCCTAAAAGCTTATGAAATTTTAGCCTTGTACAAGGAAAAGATGAAGAAATATCATGATCAAAAGATTGAAAAACACAAATTTGTTATGGGTGATCTATTGCTTTTATTCAATTGAAGGTTGCGCTTGTTTCCTGGCAAGCTCAAGTCCAAGTGGACCAGGTCATTCATAGTCACTCAAGTGTTCCCACATGGAGTGGTCGAGCTGGAGAACAAGGTTAAAGGTGAACGGGCAAAGGATCAAGGTCTACATGGGGAAAGGAGAGAGTGTGCAAGAAGTGGTTGAGGCCTACTACCTTGATGAAGTCTGAGAAATCAAGGGGTCTACGTCGTGCCGCGATGTTAAATCAAGCGTTGCTTGGGAGGCAACCCAAGATGTACAATCTAGCCAACTATAGGTTTTTCTTTTCGATTTAGGAGTTTTCTTTGTTTATTTGAATTTCTGTTATCTTTTAGATAGGTGTTTTATTTTTGTATTAGTGTTGGCTAGATATAGCATAGGGTCCGTGTCTAAAAAGTGTCCAGAAAATGTAAAAAGAAAGGCCTAACGGTTTCTATATATGCAGGGATGAAATGCCAAATCTATAGAAAAAAGGTTGTGCAGAGGTCTACGAACCCCATCGATGGTCTATGGTTCCATCCACGGATCGTGAATTGTGAATACAATTCTGTTGATCCCTTGATTCTGCTCTCTCTTAAGATTTATCCATGATTTAACGGCTATTATTGGCGTACTTCTCAAACTTGGATTTCATAATTTGAGGGTTGTCAATGACGTATTTCTCAAACTAGGATGATTTTCCCTTGATCTTCATAATTCGAGGGCCGTTAGTGACATATTTCTCGAATTAAGATGATTTGGATTTGATTTATTCATAAATATTCCATGAATTTGCGCAATATTTGAGATTTTAATATCTTTATAAATATTCCATGAATTTGTGGTGGAATTTTTTAGATGTCTTTTCAAAGGAATATAGTACCCATTATATAGGCATGGACTAGGGTTAAAGGTTGAGTAGCTGATGTTTGCGTAATCAAGACACAACTTCCAATGCAAGTGTCTACGAACGTACAATAGTTTAGTAACCCAACCAAGGGTTGGGATCGTTCCCACAGTGAGTGGTTTTGAGAATTAATAGAAAAATAAAACTAAGTTCTAATTAGTCATAGTTAAAGATATTATCGATTAAAAACATTATAAATCAAAGGGGGTTATACAAGCGTCAATTAACAGTGGGGTTTTTTTTTACAAGTAAGCAAAAACAACAAAAATACAAAAAGTACTAATCAGGGAGACGTGATTCTTGGGATGTGAAAGGAATACGGGATAAATGAGATTATTGGGTACATGCTTTTGGTAGAGAATTCATAGAATAATTGTGACTAGGCTAGACTTTAAGGGGGATAAGCTCTCTCTCGAACAACTTACCCCGTTTCAAGTGGGTTTCTCTCGAACACCCTCTTGCAGCATAAAGAACAGCCTCCTCCTTAGCCCACTCACTCTCTCGAGCTGAGTGTGCGGGAATGAGACTAGGGTTCACTCTCTCGAGCTGAACCTCATGTCGACCGACTCCCACCGGCCATTAATTTAGTAGTCTTAGTTTTACATCTATCTCTCTCGCAAGCCAAAAACACATATATGAAATTATATTCGCAACTATAATATCATTAAGTTCATCCACAACTACTACATGAAATCACATTTAAACTATGATTAAACTATCAGCAAGCAAGACTCAATAACTAATCTAACCCATATTCACAAAATCACACCTCAAGAATTGAGGTTTTAGCTAGACATGTAAACAGATAGAAATTTATACCAAAATGAGTTTGCATTCAAATGGGTATGAAGATTTAAGTCTTGATACAAGCAAAGATTGAAGAATCCAAAAGACCCAAACCCAAATTCTTGGAGATGAAACCCTTTGAATCTTCAAGTTCTTCAAAACCCTCTCCAAACTTAAAACTCAAAAATAAAAGCTAAAAATTTATGATAGAACTATGTAAAATTCGATATATAAAAATCTGATACTAAACAAGTATTTATAGATTTTAAAGAT